TACCATTCAGAAATGAACAGTGATTTGAATCTGCAGGTAATGCATCTATTGTTCCAGACTGGAGTATTATGAGGTGTGAAACTGTTTCAACATAAAATCAATTCCACCAAGCTTCTTGAAAATTTCTCTGGGAATACGAAACCAAAAGCTGTCACAGTCTGTAACAAAAGATTTTAACCAATTGATTTTCAGTGATCCATTAATACAGTTAAAGTCAATGGCTTTAAGTCCTCCATCTTCAAAGTCCTTTACTAAATCTGCCTTTTCAAAATAATGTGTCTTCCTCTTCCAGATATATTCAAAGTTAATTTGATTTATGGTCCTAATAGCAGAATTTGGAAAGGCTATAGAATACGCTGGGTAAATACCTCTAGAAATACTTTCCATTTTTGGCAAAAAGATACGACCAAATAATGAAATCTCTCTTTGGAGCCAAGTGCTTATTTGAGCCTTACATTTATGCAAATTATTCCAGATATTCAGGGACTCTACAGATTTATTATCTCTAGAAAGGTGAATGCCAAGATATTTCACAATCGACTTAACTGGAATACTGTGCACTTCCGTTAAAGAATTATGAATTATGAATTGATAATAGTTCACATTTTTTAAGATTTAAACTTAATCCAGAGGCTTTGGAGAAGAATTCTATCAATTGTATCACTTTAGGAACTTGCTGAATATCTTTTTAAAAAATGGCTGTATCATCAGCCAACTGACTAATTAGTCATAATAGTAATAATAATTCCTTGTCTTGTTGTGTGAGGGAGTAACAGGTTGTGACCTTGTTTAACATGGAAAAGTCAATGTGTTTCAGAGTCTCAAAAATACTCATAGAAACTGGCAGTTAAACCATCTGAACCAGGTGATTTATCTAATGACAAACACTTTAACACTTCTTCTACCTCTTCCATAGTTATTTCTGCTTCACAAAGTTCTTTAAAATATGCATCTATCTGTGGGATCAATCCACTAATGCAACTAAAAAATGATCCTGAGAGGGAAGGAGAAGGAAGAAGAATACAGTCTACTGTAAAAGGACTCTGTTTCTGTAGCTATTACTCTATAATCTGTAAACTCCTTACCGTTAATTAGCAAAGCTTTCAGAGTTTTTTTTTTTTTTTTTTTCTAGCCGACAAAAATTAGTATTTCTCTCCCCCTCTTCTATCCATTTGGACCCTTGATCTAAAGTAGGCCCCTTTTGCTTTCTTGACATATATATCATCAAGCTGAGTGTGTAAGGCAACAGGTTTTTTCCTATCTTGATCAGTTAATGCTACATTACAAATTGAATACATTTCTTTTACTATTTTGACTTCCTTTGACCTGTTTAATTTACTTACTAATTTACCTAAATAAACTGAGAATCTACGAACTTTAGATTTTAGAAATTCCCATTTGAATATGTAGATTGAACCATCCTGATCGTTCAAGGTCTCTGAACTAATTTTTTTAATGCCATGAGAAAAGGACTCATTAGTTAAAAGGTTAGAATTAAATTTCCAATAGCCCTTTTTATATTGACTATAGTCCTGACATTTTAAAATATGTTTTATCATTCAGTGATCTGATAGGGGTGATGGGGAAATGGATGAATCAAAGACATCTTTTATTAACTCATCTGAAATTAACCAAAAATCTGTCCTAGATTTAACTGAGTAGTCTGATTTGACCCATGAAAAATTATGAAGGTTTGGATGAGATCGACGCCAAGGATCCTGTAACCCAATTTGTGTGCAAAAATGAAAAAGAGCTGCGTTATAGTGATGCCCACCAAGAATAATATTATCAGTTGGGAACCTTCTTCTATTCTTGTATACCTTTGTTAATATCAGACAGTAAAGTTTTGTTATGACTAGGACTATTATATCCATAAATATTGGTCAAAATAACAAAGTTAACATCTACTTCTAATATACAAATGTCCACTTTCGCATCAACAATTTCCCCAGAGAAATTACAAGAAAGGACAGCTGGACCTGCAGATTTTGTAGAGCCATGACTGTACAGAATTTTGTCCCCCCATTGACTAGTCCAAAATCGTCCATCAGCGTCAGTGGAGTGTTTCCTAGAGAAGTATACATTGTGCTCTCTCGTTTTTACAAAATAAGTTGATGGATTTTCTTTCACCGTTGTCTCTTAGTCGCCTAACATTTAAGGAAATAAAAGTAAGATTAGAAGTGAACATAAGAAAAGGAAAAATGAAATACTTGCGAGGAAAAACTGCACTAACGCCACAGAACAAGAAGCCAAAACGTTGCTTGTTAGGAAACACTGCTGGTGCGTCCCAGTATTACTCTGAACAAGAACAAAAAACACCAGCGTCCAGATTTCCATTGTCTGGCTAACCAAGTGGTCACCATCAATAAGCCAACGTGACCTCTGTAGAACACAGACTTTCCTTCCAATTTAGCACGCTCCATTATCCGGCAGGCTGCAGCGCGAGCCTCTCGATCTGCCCTGCAGAAGTCCTGTTTGAAGCGAACGCCGATCAACCAGGTCACACGTGTTCACCTTTCTGTGCGATTACCGTCCGTAATTCTGGAAAATGGTGTTTTGTTTCACCATTTTGGGACGCACAAGCAGCAGCTCAAAAATGTTTGACTGCCCGGTCCGCCATCTTGCCGGCCTCCCAAGTTAACGTCTAAGCTGCGTCCAAAACCCCCCCCACACACACAACTATCACGATTATTCTCAGCACTGCAGTAACACTGACGTGGTCATGGTGTGTTAGTGTGTGTTGTGCTGGTACAAGTGGATCAGACACAGCAGTGCTGCTGGAGTTTTTAAACACTGTGTCCACTCACTGTCCACTCTATTAGACATTCCTACCTTGTCAGTCCACCTTGTAGATGTGAAGTCAGAGACGATAGCTGATCTGCTGCTGCACAGTTTGTGTTGGTCATCCTCTAGTCCTTCATCAGGGGACACAGGACACTGGCTGGTTGGTTGTTTGACTATTCTCAGTCCAGCAGTGACACTGAGGTGTTGACAGCAGCACTGCTGTGTCTGATCCACTCAGACCAGCGCAACACACAATAACACACCACCACTTCAGTGTTACTGCAGTGCTGAGAATGATCCACCACCCAAATAGTATCTGCTCTATGAGGGTCCATAGGGGTCCTGACCGCTGAAGAACAGGGTAAAAAGGGGCTAACAAAGTATGCAGAGAAACAGATGGACTACAGTCTGTAATTGTAGAACTACAAAGTGCACCTATATAGTAAAGTGGAGCTGATAAAATGGACAATGAGCATAGAAACAAGGAGGAGGTCATAATGTTATGCCTGATCGGTGTATATGATAAGCCATTGCCAAGGAGGTGATATGGTATTTCAGGTGGTTACTAGAGTGATACAATGTGGTCGCCATGGTATTTCAGTTGCAAAAGAATTGTAAGATAGTTGCAGAGGTGGGTAAGTAGCCAAAAACTGAACTCAAGTAAAAGTATTGTTACTTTAATATAATGATTACTCAAGTACAAGTAAAAGTAGTCATTGAAATTGTTACTTAAGTAAAAGTAAGAAAGTATTTAGCAAAAAGACCATTCAAGTAGAGTTACTTCGCCAGTTTCATTTAATAATCATAATAGAACTGCAAAATCATAGCCGTACTTATCACATACAAACACCAAATCAAGAATGTCCAAAACATATTTTCCTTTCAAACTATTGTAATACAATAAACAAAATGTAAATTAGCCATGTGCAAACTCAAATACGGACCAATTCCTATACCCTTTTAAAACAACAGATAATAATAAATTTAATCTTTAAGAACATAACATGAATAAAGTAATTACAGATCCACAAAACCTACAGGAAGTTCAAACTCTTGGACCTTATGCTCTGGCTTTTATATGCCAGGTAAACAAAAAATGTTATCTTCAGTCATTTTACTCCCATCACTCCCATTTTGCAAACAGGTTCTAAAACAACTGCAAAATGCAATACAATATATGAACTCCTGACTTTTCTTGCAGTCATAACTTGAAATTTATGTTGACTGAAATGCATCAGTGCTGGTAAAATTGCATTCTTGCGTATAATGTCTTAAAACACCTCATGTCACGTTAACATTACTTGCTTATATTAATCTTTTCATCATGAAAGGTCGACACAGTTGTGTTGTCCAGTTGCCTGACCTGTTTCAGAAATTCTCCAGTATCTCAAAATATCTCATAAATGTGGCCTGTACACTATTAACATTACTAATATAATCACTACTAAAATAAAACAACTTTTAACATCATCACCATCACTTACCGCAACATGTTTTCTCAAGTTGGATGTTGAGTTCTTGAAAGCTGAAAGGTTCATGTTTTTAGGCTGGCAGAGAAAGCAGCGCATGGCATAACTATTGGTTTTGGTAGCCTGTAGAGTAAACATTGTCTCGATATGAGGCCAAGGATGCTCTCCTTCCACAGTGTCGTCTGTTTGAGCCATCGCAGTCCAGCAACGAGCTGAAATCAGTGGTTCTGCAGAGCCCACGGCTGTTAATGACTAGGTACCTGTAGTTTTCAGTATACATTTGAGTGTTATACATATGAGTTTGATTGGTCAAATGAAGTCAGGTAAGATGCTTTTGATTGGTGAACAGACTTGCGTAAGATGATTTTGATTGGTGAAGGGAGCGATTTAAGATGCGTATGAACAAAACAAACAAAACGTGCATTCAATTAAAAATTATTTACAAATATAACGGAAGGAACGTAGATGAATATAACGGAGTAAAAGTACATTTCTGACCATGCAAATGTACTCAAGTAAAAGTATAAAGTAATCTCTTTTAAAACAACTCTTAAAAGTACAATTTGTTAAAAAAGTTACTTAAGTAATTGTAATTGAGTAAATGCAGCACGTTACTACCTACCTTTGGACAGTTGTTAGGTGTTTACTATGGTAGTTCCTAGGACATCACTAGGACACAGCTAGAGTGTTTCAGGTAATTGCTAGGCTGTGTGGTTAAGTGCTTCCTACATCATCCCAACTGGTTGCTGGATGTTGCTAGGTGGTTACTTAGATGTTGCTAAGCAGTTCACATAATCATATGAAGGCTGTAAATGTTGTGAATTTTCAGCATATAATCATTATAACAATAATAATAAGAAGAAAAAGGATCTTGTTAGTAAAACACAATGGCAAGAACTGCAATACTTCAGTGTTTATTTTCTGATTGTTGGTCTTCTGTGTTCTGAAGGATGTGGTGGACTGAACTGTGAAGTGCCCTTAACTGCCCTCCTCTAAAACTGTGATGACCTGGAACATAAACTAAAAGACATGCATTAGATAGAGAAGCACTTCTGAAGCACTTCTTAATTTTCATTTGCAGCATGTAAACGTATCACAATATCTCATTTGTCTGTCTTATCAGAACACTATATATTTACTCTACACTGCTTCTTCTGTTAGTGGTCATTTCCTCTCCTCCCTGGCTAACCTGATCCTAGGCTGGCACGTTGCATCGTAACCAATTATGCTGCTGCATCTTCTGCAAAGTAGGTCTTCTGGTTGGGTTGCGCTTCAGGCACCAACGAATTAGACTGCGGCATTCTGTACAGAGTGACGGGATTGGGTGGGAGAGAGATGCTTAACTTCTAAATCTTCTTTTTTCTCCTCTACATTTTAAAAGTACCACAGTGTGATAGATGGGATGTAACTATAACAGGCAAAACACACTATTATAAACATTTACACTGCGTGTACATCAGGCCTGTACTGCAAATTCTTCAGCTTTTACTCTGCATATTCATCTCCAAATACATTTTTTTCACTCTTTGTTCCTCTGTTCTCAGTTACAAGGTTAAAGGTATGAATCTCTGTCATTTCCACACTTGTTTACCAGGATGCTCTCATTTATCTTACCATTAGATAGGCCATCTCTGAAGTGCAGAGCTCCACCAGTGATGTCTTCTTTGGCAAAGGGAAGGTACCCGCAAACCATCCTGAACATCAGGACACCAAGGGACCAAACCGTTGCTCGACCAGCATAATACCTCCCTTTCCGAAAAAACTCAGGAGGGCAGTATTCAATCGTGCCTGAGAACATGAAAGAGGGAGAGAATTGAGCAGAGCTGAGCAAAAACATTAATTTCTGTACCAACACTGAACAGATAAGTTGCTCGTTTTACCTTCAAAAATGTTATAACCAGATTTCTTGATCAAATCACCGCAGCCAAAGTCGATCAGCTTGACCGCCAAGGTGTCCAGGTTGATCAACAAGTTCTCCAGTTTGATGTCCCGGTGCAGGACACCTCGCTTGCTGCACTGTAACGCTGCCACCACCGACTGCCACATGATACCTCGCGCCATGTCCTCAGTGACGTAACCTCCGTAGTCCTGAAGGAAACCGTCCAAGCTCTTGCAGGGGTCAGGGCGCTCCAGGATCAAGATGTAGCGGTCAGGCTCATCAAACCACTCGATGAGCTGGATGACGGTGTTGCAGATGGGTGGCCGGCTCATGATCTGCAGTAGAGCCACCTCCACAGGCACGACCTTTAGCTCATCAGGCTGCAGGAAAATAGGAAGTTAGATGGTGAGGAATTATCAGTGAAGATCATAGAGAGAAACTCATGGTGGTTTAAGATCATTATATGTTTCTACCAGCATTTATTTCTGTCAAGATTTGAAAGCAAAAAGAGCTCAGAGGCCGCAGGTGCACTTACGCTTTGGACATATCGGTCATCATCCAGTTTTTGGACAATTTTAATGGCCACCTAAACACAGACACAAAAATATAATGAGACTACAAGCACTGTAAACAGAGAAGAAATGATGACTGTAAAATGGAATTTAGGGAATAAGTGAAAGCGCTCCGAACCTGTAGGCCATCAGATATGCGGTGTCCTTTGAAGACGGATCCAAAGCCTCCCTCGCCCAGTTTTTCGCCAAGAACATAGCGAGTGGCAAAGGTGTCTATTGAAAACAGTGATAGAAATGAACATCAGCCGTTTTTAGATAATCTAATATGAGTTTACTGATCACTAACTGGCTATGAGAGAAACAGTGAGAGCTAGTTTCTGATATCACACCATTGTATTGACATTACACCACTGTAAATATGAATCATTAGGATAATTATAGTGCACTTAGAATGAAGTGTCCATGATTAATGTGATCTGGGCAAATGAACTTACCAGGCTTGGTGCCTTTTCTCTGTCTAGGAGACCTTCTTTGGGGCTGCTCCACTGCCACTTTCCTCTTCTTTCTTGCTGGGGCTTCAGTGTCAGGAACGTCCAGTACTGCAGCAGGTCTTTTCTTAGCAGAACTGTTCTTTGTTTCCTGCAGGACAGCCTGGCTACAGCCCTCCTCTGACCTTTTTCTCTTTCCATCTAAATACAGGAACATCATTTTAATGTTAAATGGAAGCTAAATATATCTGCAGTACTGATAATACTAGGAAGATACATTGCATTATATGCTGTTTTTTTAAAGGATGTGGTGATATCTACTGGCACTCGTACTTCTATCAAAAATCTAGTTTTTTATCCTCAGTCAAAAATCTAAAACATAATTTTAATGTTCAGACAACAAGCAAACTAATAAAACATTAGTGAACACAATTAAAGTCAGTATGAATAACCTGTTGTTTTCGAGTGTTGCTCCATCATCTGCTTCATGAAACAAACAAGCTGCTTCACTTTGGAGAGATCTGACTAAAATGATGTAAATTTGACGTGGACTGAGTTTTTATAGTAGACTGACCAGCGTCTCGTGACGTCACGCTAGTCCATTATGACGTCATAGCTGTCGTTCTAATTGGCCATGTGTTGCCATGGTGACGTTTAGATTGTTCGCTATATATACTGAATTTGTTCGTATTTTAAACTGTTTGATATTTTGATGAGTTTTTCTCCCAACAAAAACAGAATTCCACTAGAAAAAATACACTAAACGGACTTAAATGATGCAGTGAGAACCCATTATCTGTGACCTCGTTTGTAAATGTGTTTGTGAGTTAAAGCCACGCCCCCGTTATTGTAGCAGAACGTGATTCCGTTACTCACTACACAATTTCGCTTCTTTCTGCCGTTTCTATTTGTGGTCAGTAGATGGCGCACTGTATCTTTGATAGGAAGCAGCCGATGACTGTAGAAAAAAACTGCTGCACAGCAACAAACCTGCCTTGTTTCTACACACTAAGTTTACCTTATCAACTCCACTGACCACATAGGAGCACTTTGTAGTTCTACGATTACAGACTATAGTCCATCTGTTTCTCTGCATACTTTGTTATACTTTTACCCTGTTCTTCAATGGCCAGGACCCCCACAGGACCACCACAGAATATTATTTGGGTGGTGGATCATTTCCTGTCCACTCTATTAGACAAACCTACCTTGTTGATCCACCTTGTAGATGTAAAGCAAGAAACAGTAGCTCATCTATAAATACATAATTCATTAGTCATCCTCTAGTCCTTCGTCGGTGGTCACAGAGCACTGCTGTCTGCTTGTTTTTGGTTGGTGGACTATTCTCAGTCCATCAGTGACACAGAAAAGTGCCTAGTCAGTAATGTTCTCAGCGGTGGTGATAAGAACCCACTTGTGGACCACATCCTTGGTTTTGTTCAGTGTCCAGTTCTGGCTGGACCCTCGACCCAGATGTGACCCCTATACTGTATAACAAGAAGAATTTGCCCCACACACTGTTAATGAGTAGAACATAGAACTAATGGATGTGGCCCAGCTCTGGCCCTTATACTGTAAAGTGTACAAGGCTAACAGAGGTGGTGCAGATCAGACCCAAACCTTGACAGTATTTAAAAGGTGTGGCCCACATCTGGCTCGTTTATGGCACACAGTTACGGCTGAATGCTCACTTTGGTCCCCGGCCCAGCTGTGGCTCTGAGGATGCCACAGTCATTTACCGCAGAACATGCAAAATATTAGTAATATTCTTCTTAATAATCAATACATATAATTCTAAACACATTTCTCACAATGTTTCTGCACAAATTTTAAAACATGGTGGATGAAAAATTCTTCAGTGAAGAGGAGGAGCCACTGAAATACAGATTACATCTGACATCTTCTTTAAGGAACTGTTCAAATGGGTTTAAAGACCTTTTATCTTAAATAAGAGGTGACAAAAATGTCTGAAAAATTATACTTTACCCTCTGTGGTCCACAAACTCACCCTCAGGTCAAATTCGATGTTTCTATACGTGTTTCTCGTCTTTCTGATAATGCAGCGCAGAAATACGGGTCAAACATTACCTGAGTCTGTAAAGTCGCCCTTTCCATTCCATCTCATCACAAGATCCTACATGACTCACATCCAGAGTTATGAGGCTATGGAGAGGGGTTGAGAAACACTTCATCTGCTTCTCATCGTAATCGGTGGATTTGTGTGTCCACCTACATTTTGTGTGAAACTGACCAATGGACACTTAGGTAATCACTAAGGACCCATCACAACGGAAATCCTTAATTCTTTATTCAGTCAACACGTGCAAAGAGTTCACAGCAGCTAAAATTGCTATGCAGTTTTGGAAAGTAGCGACAGAGAAAACAGAGCATTTTGATATGAAACTTATGGGTATTATATTATATGCAAGTGCCTTTAAAGGCAAATTTATGAATCGTCTCAACAAACCGGATGTGCTGTCACGTCTGGAATAGATGGGCTTTGATTTAGAAACTGAATAATAAGGCAAGGTTTTTGTTCTAACATTGAGAAACTTAGAATCAAACTAACAACTAACAGGTCAAACTAATGTAAAGCACTCCTGACAACGAAAGATCATATGAACCATGTCACCTCAGGTTAACAACCACAGCGCTGGTTTTCTAAGGGTGATGTGTAGATGAGTGGACATGCCATTGCTGTCACAAGACAGTGCGCTGTCTCTGAGCTAACGGTGTAAGCCCGAGCTAAGGTGCTAACGTTAGCTAACGACTATGAGCATTTAAAGGGAATAAGTTAACATTAGCCACAAACAATATGCAATAAATAACCCTGAGTTCATAGTCATGTTAACCTTGCTAGCCTGTGCTTTTCAAGTGTTATGCCATAATGGTTTCCTTAATTATCATTAATTTTTTATGGTAGAACATTACACAGCTGTCCAGCAACTGGCCCTGTTCTGGCCCACATGCCTAATATCTGCCCTGAAGTCAACCAACACTCATGGATGAGAGCCAGAACTGGCCGAGAACTGCCTGCTATCTGGTAGATTGTGTGTCCGTGTATCAGTGTATGTTAATACAGACCACTGTAGTCATGCGTCATTCTGTAGTCCACATTATGCCCATATGAGGAACTCCAGGTCTAAGCTTGATTTCTCTATGGTGGGAATGAATGGGGTTTTGGAAAAATCGCCTCTATCGCACCCTGTGGTAAATAAAAATGTTCAGAACCCGATAAGTTTTGTCGTGTGTACCCAGACAGCAAAAATCAGTCGGGCCACTTCTGGCCCAAATGCCAGCATGAATCTCATTGGCCCAGACTCAGTTTGAATCTAGGCCCAATTCTGGTGCAAATGCTCGGCTCACATTTGGGCCAGATGCCGCATACCAGGCCCCAACGACTGTCCCATGTCCGGGCCGAGTGCTGCATGCCGAAACAGTTGGCGTGGCCTCGGTTTGAATCTAGGGTCGATTCCGGTCCAATGGCTCGGCTCACATCCGGGCCGAGTACCGTCAGCCGGTATTTCTTTGATCTGCCCACGTCCGGCCCGAATGATTGGCCCACATCTGGGCCAAGTACTGCGTGCTGTGATACTCGGCACAGCCTCGGTTTGAATCTAGGCCCAATTCTGGCCCAAATGCTCAGCTTACATCGGGCCGAGTACCGCGAGCCGGTATTTATTTGATCGGCCCACGTCCGGCCCGAATGACTGGCCCACGTCCAGGCCATTTCTTTGAGAACAGCATGTGAACAGACAACTGCTTCTTAATTATGCTCCTTTTTATTATTAATTATGCTCCTAGCAACCCACAGCACTTGAGTTTTGTCTACTCCCTCCTCACCCCACTTGATCCAGCTCATGAAGGACTTGATCATCAGTTGATTAGGAGGATCAGGTGTGGGGTAGAAAACAGGTGAAACTGCAGTGGTTGCCAGGAGCATAATTAGACATTTAACACTAACATTTAGAAAAAAAAAATTCCACTTCTGATACTCACTTTGTAGAAAATATAGAAAATATCCCTACTCGGCATCAACTAGCAGGCCTCCCTGCACCCCTGGTAATAGGCAGTTGTTTAGCCCCTGCTTTTTCAAATTTCCTGTTCCACCTTGAACGGTGCAGCAGTTACATTCTGGTGCCTAAATGCACCCAAATGTTACTGCAGTGCCATTTAATGTGAAATGGAAACTTAAAAAAAGCTAACATTAGCCTTAAGTTTATCAATGACTTCCAGACTGATAAACCAGAAAACCTGGCCAAACTTTCAATTAAACACTCTCATCAGGTCATGTATAAAGATATTGTAAGCAACACCAGGGTATATATTGCTCTGCTGTAGCCCATCTACTAATGTAAGAATAGCTACTCTTGGGCCCCATTCTTCAGATAAAGCCATTTTTGCTGAGTGTGCTGCTGGCACTGACCTGATGGGATGCCTGACAGGAGAAAGTCTATAAAAAAGAAAATACAATCAGGTCAAATGCATTTTCAAAATCATTTTGCCACAGAATGAGCGCAGTAGGCAAGAATATCTAATTGCAAAGAGGAGGGGCATTAGTTCCTTTTGTACATCTGAATTTTGCCCTCTTTCTAGCTTGGACTTCTCTTTAATAATGCAAATTCAAAAGCATTATTAGACAGTGAAAATGCATATAAGGTAAATTACATTGTAATAATCATTTTGACACCAATCACATGAAGCATAACTTGCAACTCTAAAAATACATTTTAATTTAAATAAAGCTACTCATGTCAGTACTAGCATACCAAATGACAAGTTAAAATAGCTGAACTGAATTTGAACGGCATATATGCGTAGGAAATTTAAATGCAAACATACAAATAAACTGACATTTTGCATTTTGCATATTACATTTTCATTATCTATATGGTAAGTGGAGCTGAAAAAATTGGCAATGAGTGTAGATTCAAGGAGGTGTACTTAATGAAGTGTCAGTCGATATATATTTATATACAATTTATCAAAATCTAATGCTTCATAAATCATTTTAGTGATAATGAAAATCAGAAATAGTTTTAGTAAAATGCTGTTTGTTTCCTTCGCTTTCCTGTCCTGATCAGCACAGATCTGCTGCTTAGACCTATATCTTTAGCTGCTGACATGCTTTTAATATTAACTGATTTATTTAAAATGCTTAAAAATCAAACATTAAATAATGTAATATTGTAGGCCTGGGAGATATCTAAAAATGATCAATATCTGCTGTAGTTTTAGTTTATGTGCTTTTCTAAACATTAACTGTTTTAATGAAAATCTTTAATAAAACCACATATTAAATAATCTTTTGAAAACTACTTCACCTGTCGTTTTAATAGATGTTACTGCAAACATCTGCAAATAAACATCTGGTGCAGATTTATGGCGACTTGCATGCTAATCATGCTCCAAAGCCCTGCCCACGTGCTTTACATATTAGTAAAAAGCAAGCTGTTTTCCATTGTTATAGTAGAGTTTTCATTACTCAATTAACCACCAGCTGACTTGAGCTGTACAGAAAATAAGGGCAATTTACTGTTGCCTACCTGCTTTTAAAGGCCCCATGATAGAGCTGGACAGTGACTGCCCACTTTTTAGCAGCTCTGGTTATGAAAGTAAAAATCCCATTAATTTCCTCCACAGACATTTTTTAAAATCCTTAAATAAAGAGTTATAAGCACTCAAGCAAACCAGTCAGCTGCGAGACAAATCATGAGCTTACAAACATTAAATTGGTGCAAAAAAAGATTAGAAAAATAAACAAAAAGGTTAAGGTGCAAGACTGTGTACTTCCAATCAAGTTCACTCCTTTTTTCACCTCCTTTTGCAATTTTCTTTATATTATGTCTTCACTGTTTTTGTAGATATTATGCTTTTAACATTGTAGACAGTGCAGCCTTATGCACATATAATGTTTGATGTGTATCATTATAGCTTTAACAGTCCATTTATTCTGTTTTTGCTATCAAGTTTTTTTAGAAGTCATGGTGCAGTTTATTGACCTCCACAAGAATTATATTAATCCTAATATGGCCTTTCTTCTTATTTTACTCATTGATTCGGCACCAAAGGACAAATATAATCACTGAAAGGGAGCCTGAAGGGTGGAGAAAGTTTGATGCTGCGTTAATGTGTGGAGTAAAGGGGATTTTTGTTGATCTGTGTGGAGTTCATAATGTTTGTCCCTCCACAGCCCTGTACGCGCTGTCTTTCTAACTCTGACAGAACCGACCACCTGCCCCCCTCACACAAACTACGCTCCACTACACGGCCGGACTCTGAAGTAAAATAAACAGAGGGAAGACGGAAGAAGAGCTATGTGGTATGTAAAGCTAGCATTACAGAACGTAGCAGAGAGAATTAACAGTCAGCTAGTCCCCTCTAGTTCTGTCGTTATTTTTCCAACATGGCGATGATTGTCTTTTACGCATAGTCCTATTGCCCTATAGATAAATATACACACACACACACACACACACACACACACACACAATACATGGCTCACCTTACCCCACTGTGTTTTCAGGCTAGTTCATCATCTGTGAACACAGAAAGTATTCAAATGTCTAGCAGTTCTTTTTCAACACTTTACAAACCAATAGATAAAGTAGTTTTTACCACCCTGTGATGCCTGGAGTTATTAGTCTTTTCATTTTCTAGACGACTTAGCTCGGAACAGCTAACAGCTAATTAGCTATAAAATCTGTGTTACCGGAATTAATATAAATATTATATTAATATTAAGAAAATATTAATGAACATTAACAAATATGTAATAGAAGGAAGGCTGAAGTAGCTAGCTAATGAACTGTATCCTATCGTAAGGTATAACTTCATGTTGCTCTTAGCTAGCTTAAGTAGCTAGCTAACATTAACTTCACTGTAAAATGCCTGGAAATACAAAATGTATTTCTGCATTTTTGCGCCATTATGACATAACGTTAGCTAGCGAATCTCGATCTGATAACCCTTATAAATAAATTAGAAACCTTTAAAACTAAGTATTTACAGAAATCGTGCTGCAGTGTGTGGATAATGCCAACTAGCGTTAGCTAACGCAGCTAAGTTATATGCTATTCAAAGGACTTACTAAGTTAACCTTTTAATACAAAGCTTTTAATTAATTTTTGCTAATATTAGATCCCTATTAGAAACTGTTTACAGTAATCTAAAGTCATGTTAACTTATGAAATAACCATAATTAAACTTACTGAAAATTATGGAGCAGCCTCTCTTGAAAGGAGGGCTTCCAATGAAGGTGGGGTCTTATCTGCGTTTTCGCGCCAATGACGCATCATCAGTGCTGTTTTTTGTGTAAGCAGTGATTAAATAACCTTTTCCAAACAGAAATCCTTATTATTTTACCAAATTTTATTAGAATAAAATACAACATTGCAGTATTTGTTTCTTAATAATTCGGTGAGGACTTATTACTTTGATTTCTGAATCTCAAATGGCTCCTTACTCCCTGTGTAGTGCACTATATCAGTTAAGAAATTTTGACTTCTTCAACTAATCAGTGCACTATATGTCCAGTAGGGAACTGTGCACACCTGCCTGAATCCCAACTGGCTCTTTGTAAGAAATATTATGCACTGTTTGGTTTCAGGAGCCGTTATTTCAAGACCTACATAGTGCACTCTGCAGGCAGCAGGAAGCCATCTGAGATTTATCCATAATCGGCACGAACCTATAGTGCATGTTTGGGCGGGATGAGCACGTATGGGAATTGGCCCGAGCTCATTTTGCAAGCTCTTCGGTTGCTGAGCGTCACCCACACTCGGCCCAATTCAAGCTGGCCGATGACGAGTCTCAGCCGATGCTGCCACAGATCAGCCGAGCTCGGACCGAGTCTTCATGCTATCTGGGTACATTTTTCTCCCGAAGATCACTGGATCCTCTGAGTCTTAATAATAAAATTGCTTCATAAAACTAAAGCTGCTGCGCTTTAGCTTTTTTTTGCCAGCTTCTCGTTCGAACTTTCTCGGTCCACCTTAAATGGTGCAGCAGTTGTGATTAGCTCTCACAAACATTAGCAAACGGAACAAAACAATACTGACCTGTTGGTTCTATGAAACAGCAAAAATAAGGTTCTGTTACTCAGCTGTCAATCAGAAACAGAGCAGCCTGCTCATATCATGTCCTTCAACTCTCCATGAAGCTGAAGTCAGCTTCTCATTCGCCAGCTGCTTGTTGGAATTTTCCCGTTCCACCTTAAATGCTGCTGCACCTTGTAAGCTGGAATGGGGAAACTCGAACAAGAGGCTGGCGAATGTTGAGAGAAAATGTCCTCAGAAAATGTTATCAGCATTAAAGTAATAATTAAGATATTTTGAGAGGCTAAATCAGTTTATCAGGGGGTCAGCAGTGATATTAAGCTGAGTCTGTACTGAATTAGCCTGACTGCAGGTGAGTTTGTAGAGCTCTTCAGATCAAACTGTGTACAGAACGGAAAGATCTATCGTGTTGCAGTGAGGATTAGATGAAGAACAGAGAACTGCAGGGAAAGCTGCTTATTCTGTTCTGACTCCTTTCCATCTGCCCTCAGTCTGTACACGGAGATACGCTACCACACTGGCAGAGCGTGCTGGTTTGTGCAGTTTTTAAACAGGCTGCCAGTCTAACAATGTCATTTCAGTGTGCAATAATATTAGCTTACATGAAGCAATATTCATATTTCAACTCTTTAACAACCTCATAATTCAGAGGATCCACAATGTGCAAGTTTCG